GCGGTCATACCTCTTCAATTTGTATGGTGTTTTTCTTTTATTCGTTGTTTTTGTTTTTTTTGTATGTTTATGATCCTCTCTAACATAAACAGAAATTCGAGTAAAGGAAAAAGAAGAAGAAGGGAAAATGGAAGTAAAATATGAACATAAAGCGTTTTTTTTTGTTGTTCATGTTGTTATTAATCTGAAGGTATGCGCGATTATAGTTCAAGTTGGTGGTGAATCATCCATCCATAATTGACATATTGCAGAGTGGTGGAGACCCATAGCAGGAAGTTCCAGAATTTATTTATGTTGTTCATAATAATAAAAAAGTGACCTTGTGGACCTGAAGAAGAATATCGGTAACATAATTTACATATTGTGGCGTGTGGAGACCCATTGCAGGAAGTTCCAGGGTACTTAATTTTTGTTATAAAAAAGTGGCCTTGTGGGACTGGAAAATATAGGATTTTTAGGTTGGATCTAAATTATTTTTGAATTTTGAAATCCCTTTCAAAAAACCGAATAATAGCTTATAGAAAAAACCCAGCACCCATTAATATGGAAAGAAAAGAAAATATAAAACAACAGTGTTGGAGGATTTTTATAATTTTAGCTATTAACCTATTTAAAAATGTAGATGAAACCGAATAACCGGTATATAACGACGAAAATAAAACATATAAATATTACAAAATATAAACAAATTAAAAATTTATAATATATGTTACATTTTCATACTAGAATAGTTCAAGTTAACAGTGGAAAACCGAATAACCGGTTATGGAAACACCAAATAACCAGAATGGGAACATAAAATATCATTATTGCCAATGCAAAATACATTTTGGGAATATATTTTAGGCTTTCTGGTACATAACCCGTTCATAACCGAATCAAAAAACCCAAATAATCGGTTAAAGAAATATGAAATACCCGTTTAAAAAGTGTAATTTTATTAATTACCAAAAAAAAGAACAGTTGCCAATATTTTTATCATTGATTTAAAGAAGGATATATGCAAAACCGAATAACCGGTTACAGAAAACCGAAAAACCGGTTACTAAAACCGAATAAAACATGTTTCTTTGTTTGAATTTTTATTTATTATTACCACAACCTCAAAAAAAGGACATTTGTGATATAAAACCGCAAAACCGGTTCCAGAAAACCGTATAACCGTTTACATAAAACCGAATAAAAATATTTATTGGCTTGATTTTGTATTTATTATGGTAGATATTCACCACAAGCTTAAAACAATCCATTTTTGATATAAACCTGCGCAACCGGTTACAGAAACCCGTATAACCGGTTACACAAATCCGAATGAAATTATTTTTTGTTTGATTTGGTATTTGTTATGGTTGATATTCACCACAAACTCATAAAAAGCCATTTTTGATATAAACCGGTTACAGAAAACCGAATAACCGGTTACAAAAATCCGAATAAAAATATTTTTTTGCTTGATTTTTTTTTTTTTATTTTTTATGATTGATGTTTACCCTAACCTCAAAAATCCATACACCACAGTTGTTACTCTCAATATGTAACATTTTCTTTTTCCTAAACGGTTTTAGTTTCACATATGTATGTCGGTATGTGTGTGTATATATGCATATCAGGAACAGGTCTGTGTGAATCTATACATATATAACGTTTATAAAAGTTGTCGTCATATATTATTTCCCATAGAATTGTTTTGAAGATTTATTGAACTTTTTGCGGTTTCCATCCAACCAACCAATCGACCAGCCAGCCACGCATCAGTCTGCCCTCCTCCATTCATCCATTATTTCGTTTTCTATAGATTTCCAGTGCGGTTTTGCTTTTTTTAAAATATTATATTTAATTAATAATAGAATGTCAGAGAATATTGTTTGTAGAGGGTGGGGTGGGTTGGCTGTCTCGAAAAGAAGCCATAATCCACCATTCACAACTCATTTAGAAGTTGAACTGGTGGAAAAAAGTTTTCTTGGTTGGTTGGCATGTAAGATCGATGGCAGCAGATAGGCCGGCCAGGCCATGCATGGCGCTTTGTGGTTGTTAGGAGTTACGGTTTAGCTGGAGATTAAAATCGCTTGCAACTCGATTTACAAGTTTAGTGCATGTTGTTGTTTTTTTGTTGTTTCTATTACCACTGATCGATCTAATATCAAGCCACACCAAATGCTAATGAAAACTTCATATATCTGTTTGTATGATTGTGTGTGTAAGTCTGATGCATATGGAATAAAAAAAGATGGTAGATCAGTCTGAAAAAGAAAGATGAAGAGAAAATGAATAGCGGCTTTTTAGATGCATTCTGAATATCTTTAAGACCAAAAGCAACAAAATGACTAGATTAACTCAAACATGTTGCAGTTGCAGTTGCAGTTAGTTGAACAGAGACGTGGCTAATTAATGTTACAAATAAGGGGGTCTATTGTCATTGTAATTCTGTTGTATATCCCCCCTTATCAGCTACGCCATTTCCTCCATCCTTCTTGTCACTTTTCTTAGTAGCCGTCTTTGTGTGTTTTTTTTTCAAGTAGCTACAGTTATGTTGTCTGTCTGTCTGCTGCTGTCGTTTGTGTGTATGTGTGTGATAAGAAATCATAAAACAGGTATAAATCTTTCAAGCTGGAATTTGGTTTAAGCCAACTGTTGTGTGTTTTTGAGCCACGAAGTAACAGCTAGGGAAGAAGGAGATTAAAGTTGTAATATTGATCTTTTTCTTGTTGCCTTAACAGATGTGTGGTGTTTTGTGCGTATGACTGTGTGTGTGTGCTTTTGATGTCCATATCCAATATCGATCAGAGTTTATGGTCGTCTCTTGTTCGCAGCGGATCTTTTCATAGCTTCTTTTCATGTTTCCACCACAAAATACACTTTATATGTTATCATTATCGTCGAAGTCGTCGTCGATGTCGTCTTGGTCGGTTGGTTGGTTTGTTGTCATCATCTAAAGAAGGAATGGCATGCAACACATTAACAGACAAGACACCAATCACACACAAATACACTATACGCACAAACACACACACTCCAACATGCCGCTATGCATTGGAAGAAAATCGAAAACTTGTCTTGAAGATGGGCCCACGTTTTAGTTTCGAAAAAATATCCAATCGACCATCCAAGCATAACTACTGCTGCATCCATGTGTGATGACCACAGTAGGGAGGGAGGAGGGATAGAGAGCAAGAGATGCATTCATTTACCTGTGGTCAATCACCAACAAGTCTTCACTACACGACGATTGGTTCCGTCGATAGCTTGATGCTGATGAGTTTTGTTGTTGCTACTGAATCTTAAAACAAAAAAATCAAACAACAACACCACCAGCTTGAAGAGAATTCTTGTCTTTGTTGTTGTAATAATGTTTTAGTGCATTTGTATGTTTTTTCTTTGTCGTTGTTGTTTTTGTATTGCCTCTATGTGGCACGCATGCTTTCATTTGCTGGCATACAAATCGTATAAACCGAACTAAGAAGAAGAAAAGTGCGTACGTAGGCAGAGTTGTTGTTGTTGCTGCTGCTATTTGTTAGTTACTCTGCTTGTTTGTTGTTATACTAGTTCCGAGGAAATCATACCAAAACATTTTATAATTAGCGTTGATGATGTGTTTTTCTCAGGAGTTAAGTTAGACTCGAAGAAAATACACTTTTGTTTTAGTGGCTTGACGAATTGCCGCGAAAGGCTAACAGCAGCAGCAACAATAACAACAACGATATTTGTTGGTGTGTTGTTGTAATATACATAGTTGGGTAGTACTTATAAATATTTTGTACACTCAAAAAAGGAGACAAATATCTTCGAAATAGGTCCTTAAAAACATTTTTAAAAAAATCCAGAACTAGAATCGTTAGTCCGATTGAAACGAAATTTTGCTTGGCTGATTTCTATTTAGAATGATGTATGTCAAATTTGAAATAAATCGGTTCAAATTTCGATGTGGGTCTCCTATATATTTTCGTCCGATTTATGTAAATAATGCACCAAAGACCCAACGATGGTCCGATTGGAAAGAATTTTGGCATAGCATATTGTTCAAATCGGATGAGATTTTTATATAGGTCCCATATAGAACACAACGCTTGTGCGATTGATACGAAATTTTAACACCTAAGAATATGCCCATAAAAATAATTTTAAAAAATCCGCGCCTAGAAATAGGCTTATATAAATACTAGTAACTAGAAATCCACGGCCAGGAATGGGTCAAAAAAATATTTTTAATACAACCTTGCCTTACAATAGGTCCTTAAAATATTTTTAAAAAAATCCAAAACTGGAATGGATCCTTAAAAATATTTTTAAAAAAATCCAAATATATCCAAAAATGCGTCTATGATAGGTCCAGGTCTAAGGATGGATGCATAGAAATATTCCAGGCCGTGGAATTGGTCTAAAAATATATTTTTAAATTTCCCTCAAAAATAGTTTCCCATTTATTTCTTTGAGTGTTATCAATATAACTTTGCAGTTTACAACACTTTCTGTTTGTCCAACATCTCTGCTAATGGACCAATATTGTGTCCAACATGCCAATGTCGTCTTTCCTTTTTTTCTGTACTACTCATGGCGTGTTTTGCTCTACTCTTTCTTTATCTTGCAAGAAATACTCCGAAGCTTTTCATTATGGTAAAATGTTGTCGACAACATATGTGGTGAATGCCAATTATTGTCTACCGTACAGGGTTGGATGGCGAGTTGGCTAGTTGGATGGTAGGTTGGTTGGTAGCTGACATGGCCAACATGTATGGCAGCAGCTACTTGCTAACTAACTTACTGATATCACTTTGATGTCTGAGAAAATTATTTACCCACGCAAAAAAAAAAAAAAAAAAAAAAAACATTACACGATTGGCAAGTGACGATAAAAAGAAAGTTCAATTAGAATTTTTGAGGTTGATTTATTTGTGAAAAAGTGCATTCTAGTTCGTTCTTATGGTTTTCATATTTAGTTATAGATGTCAAATTAAAAATGATTTACTAATAGCTTATTTATTTTTCTTTTTTTTTTCTTACAGTTGCAACTCAAAATATGTTGGCGATTTTTGTGAATACCAGAATCCATGTCTGACGGGACCGGGTCGCTGCCAGAACGGCGGCACCTGTCAGGTCTCATATCGTAACGAAAGTCTGGGCATTACTTGCATCTGCCCCTTGGGTTTTGCGGAATCGTTGTGCGAAATCAAACTGCCAAATGCCTGTGATCCATCACCGTGCCAGCATGGTGGTACGTGTAATTTGAAAACGCTGAGTGACTACACGTGTGCTTGTGTTAATGGTTTTACGGGTAAGAAGAAGAAATATTTTTAATTATATTAGAAATTCTTAGAGATAGGACAAGAATTAAAAAAAATGCACCAAATAATCCACGTTTCTCCGATCGACATGAAATTCAGTATGGGCTTTCAAATCAGTTGAAATTTAGATATAGCTCGCATATATTTTTTCCGATTTCGGGTAAATTGTGCCCCAAAGACCGTACGATGTCCGACTGTTACGAAATTTGGTATAGCGAACTAAATTGATTTTAGAATGACGTATGTTGAATATTGTTAAAATCGGTTCAGATTTATATATAACTCCCATATATGATTACGTCCGATTTTGGGTAAATGGTGCACTATAAGAACCCAACGTTTGCCCGATTGATACAAAATTTGACACAGCGGGATGGTTTCAGTCTAAAATGATGTATGCTAAATTTGAAAAAAAAACGGTTTAAATTTCGATGTGGGTCCCGTATATATTTTTATCCGATCTCGGATAAGTGGTGCACCAAGAACCAAACGTTTGTCCGATTGATACGAAATTTGACATAGCGTACTGAAATTAGTCCAGAATAAAGTGTGTCAAATTTTGTTGAAATCGCTTCAGATTTAGATATAGCTCCCATATATATTTTCGTCCGAATTCGGGTAAATGGTGCACCCAAGACCAAACGATGGTCCGATTGACACGAAATATAACATAGTGCACTAAATTGATTTTAGAAAGACGTATGTCAAATTTTGTTGAAATCGCTTCAGATTTAGATGTAGCTATATGGTGCACCAAAACACAAAATGTGTTCGATTGTCACGAAATTTGGCACAGTTTGCTGATTTTAGTATGTTAAATTTGAATTAAGTCGGTTCAATTTCGATATGGGTCCCCTATATATTGTCGTCCGATTTCATGTAAATGATGTACCAACGACCAAATTTCGTAACAATTGGACCATCGTAGTCCAATTGTTACGAAATTTGGTATAGCGTACTACGTTGAGGCTAGAATTAAATGTGTTGAGTTTCGTTCAAATCGGATCGGATTTTCATAAAGGTCACATATACAATTTTGACCGATTTCGTGTACATGGTGCACCAAAGACCTATATTCCGTTCGATTGACACGAAATCGGTTCAAATTGTTGAAATCGATTGAAATTTTCATATAGCTTTCATGTTTCATATCGTCCGATTTTCTGCAAATGGTGCAGTAGAGACCCAATGTTTTTCCGATTGACACGAAATTTGGCATAGCGTACTAAGTTGCGCCTAGAATTGCCTGTGTTGAGTTTTGTTCAAATAGGGTCAGATATTGATATGGGTCCAATATAAAATTTTGACCGATTTCGTATAAATGGTGCACCAAGAACACAACGTTTGCCCGATCGACACGAAATTTGGTATATCGCGCTAAATTAATGGTAGAATGATGTGTGTTGAGTCTCCTTTAAATCGATTAAAGTGTTACATGGGAGCTGTATCTAGCTCCCATGTAACACTTCGTCCGATTTTGGTTCTTTTTTGTTCTATTTTCGTAATTTCAATTTTTTTTTTAATAATGTTTACCCTTTTTTGTTTCCTTTCTTTAATTTCAGGCAAACACTGTGAAACGAAAAACATTTGTGCAACATCGCCCTGCCACAATGGCGGAACGTGCACCTCCATCGCTGGTGTTAGCAATTTCAAGTGTATATGCCCCGCAGGATTTAGGGGCCCAACGTGCAGTGACGATGTCGAAGAATGTAATAATAATCCCTGCAAGCATGGCGGAACCTGTGTGAATACTCATGGCTCATATCAGTAAGTAAAGCAATGCAATTTGTTGTTGTTACACATATGCACATACATACACCTATGTAGCATGTAAGAAGCTGTCTGCTTGCTGCCTAGGCATTCATTATAACATCATTCATTGTTCCGATCTGCCCTCAGGCTTCAAACTTCAAACCAGATTTAAATAGTGTTTTGTACCATTTTACCGAAAAAATAAAAACAAAGTTGGAGATGAAAAGAAAATGAAGAAGAGGAAGCATACAAAGATGGGTAGTCAGTGTAATTAATGGCCATTTAAAAACCATTTATCTTGTATTGACTTGTGTGTATGTTTGGATTTGCATATGAATCGACTTTTAAATGAATTCGGCATTCATTGCCGAAATGAAAACGAGATCTTCTGCACAGAGTGAGATTTGAAAGGGCAGTAGAGGTGGTGGGGATTATGAAATAGATTTGTTTGATATTTTTATTTATTGAATTTTTATTAAAAATTCAAAAATATTTAACAAATTGCCAACAAAAAATCCCAAAAAAAGACTAATTTATGGTGGCACACACCGGCCTCAGATTTATTCGATTTCTTTGTTCGATTTTTGCCAAAACAAATAATCAAAATGACAGGCTAATTTATTTTTATTTATTTAAATTTGATTGTGAACAGCTAATTAGAATAAATAAAACATTTAATATAAATCAGCAACAGATGGACAGACAGGCGAATGGACTGGACGGACGGACACAGTGTTTAGACATTTGTATTGTTTTATTTTCTTTTTAAACCGAAATATTGATTCATCACCCAAAAAGTAAAGCTCTAATTTACCCATTGTTTATTTAGTTATTTAAACACGATCAAACATGCTTAGTATTACTTTTTGTGTGTTTCCAAAAAAAAATTCTCACATTGATTTGTTGTCGAAACCTCGGTTTCCGGTGCTCGGCTTGGTGTTATAAAACACATGTCGTAGACCGACCAGCCAACCCCAGCCACCTTTGCCTCGGCCGGGTCTGTACAAATAGTAACGTTATCACAAGAAAAGAAGAAGAAAATAACCGAAACAAATTTGCATTTTTAATTTTCAAATATTGAAATTTATACAAAATGATAAAAAATACACACATAAATAAATTTCAAGTGAAGCGTCTTCATATAGAAAACTTTTTCTTGTTGTTGCCTTGTTTTGCGGTCAAACTTTTAAGTTCGTCGTCAACAACAACAACGAACAAGACAAAAAAACTATCTCATGGGGTGGTACTCTCGGCATGACATAAAAAAGAAACAAATACTAACAACAACACAAATTTACGATGTATTTGTCTGTTTGCCCTCCCCTCTCTGTCCAAACGTCTCTGAAGCCCATCCTATGTCTTCTCATTGATCGTAAAAATGTTGAATTTATTCTACAGTAGCCGATTTCAAATGACGAACTTAATGACAACAATTGACATTTTTATAACTATGGACAAATTTTTTTGAATAGAAATTTATTTGTATTGTAATAAAAATGACAACAACAACAAAAACCAGAAGAACACAAGGTAGCATATAAATAAGAGATCCAGCAAAAAAAGTTAAGGTCGATCTTTTAAAACCCTACCTACAAATTGGAACAAAATATGCATTAAGGAAAAATAACGGAAAGAAAGGACACCAAAATTCGCCATAGATCTCGTAAAAATTTAAACATAGAGAAAATATCGTATTAATATACGATATATTAAAAAATTAAATAATTTATTTCGGTTTTTAAAGAAATGACCATATCTGCCTCAAACTTCGATTTTAGCCGGGTGGAGTCAATGAAGAAAAAATTCTCCACTAAATTTCAGTATAAGTTCCAAAGCAAATAAAATCGGTAGCTATGGGAAATATAGGTCAAATTGGGCAATAAAATTACGATATGAAAACTCTAAAGTATTTTTTGAATTTTTCTTAATAGTGATTTGAAAAGCTGGTAATATCTACCTCAAAATTTCATAGTAGAGGATTGGTGTCAAAAGAAAAATTATTCTATACAATATTTCAATATAAGTTATCGAACAAAGGAAATCTGTAGCTATAGTAAAAATACGCTAAATTAAGGAGCAATTTACGATATATTAAAATTTAAAGTATTTTATGTTAGCTATTGAAAAAGTGACGATATCTACCTACGTCTTACATTTCAGCGGGTTTGTGTTAATGGAAAAAATATTCTCCATCAACTATCAATATAAGTCCCAATATAAATAATATCAGTAGCTATGGGAAATATAACCGAAATAGGACTATAAAATTACGATATGAAAACTCTGAAGTATTTTTTGTTAATAGAGATATGCAAAGTTGGTAATATCCAACTCCAACTTTCATTCTAGAGGATTGGTGTCAAGGGCAATATTATTCTACACAATATTTCAATACAAGTCACCGACCATTGGTAATCGGTAGGTATCGGTATATGTACCCCAAATACAGAAGGAAAATTCTCATAGTTTCATTTCTTTATTTTCCCTGGGTTGTTTTGATTAATTGGCGATATCTACCTGAAATTTACACTGTAGGGCACAAGTGGCAAAGGTGGGAAGATTCAACATCAAATTTGACTATTAGTCACCGAACAAATAAAATCGTTAACTACACGATATATAGACGTATAATTCCTATCAAATTACGATATATAAAAAAACAACGTATTGTGAGTTTTTTTCATGTTGTTTGGAAAAATGGATAATTTCTACAACAGATTTCCATTGTACGGGTTCGGTACCAATGGAAAAATTATTCTACATAAAATTTCACTGTAGGTCTCGGAACAAAAGAAATCGCTAGCTATGTTACATACATACAAAAAAAATCAATTAATTTACGATATATAAAAAACATAGTACTTTTGGAGATTTTTTTTTGTCAAAGCTTTTGAAATAATTGCTCATATCTATCTTAAATCTCCATTGTGGTAATTTGGTGTTAAAGGGAATATAATTCTACATAAAATTTCACTATAGGTCACCGAACAAATAAAATCGGTAGCTATGCGCTGTATAAAGAAAATAGCCCAATAATATTACGATATACGTTTTTTCCAAAGTTGGTTTTAATATTGGGTATATTGGTCCTCAAGCTTCCACTGTAGGGGTGTGGTTCCAAGGGGAAAATAATTCTACATCAAATTTCATTATGAGTTTTTGAATAAAAAAATCCTAGCTATACGATATATAGACACACATTCGCTATAATTTTTTACAATATATCGGGTATGTTCACCTCAGAAGTTACCTCCTGTTCTGCATCTCACGTAAATTGAAATTTTCGAAATGCGACAAAAATAAACGCCGACATGAAAATGTAAGTGTAAAGTATACACCTCAAATGGGTGTAAAGTGTGTTACAGAACACCTCGGTGTGTTAGATACACTTCTGCCGTTGAGGTGAATGCCAGAACATGCCCGTATATTTTTTAGTTTTTTCCTAGTTGTTTTGAATTGTTGCCAATTTCAACCTCAAATATCAATAGTAGGAGGTTAGTGTTAAAGAAAAATTAATTCTACATCAAATTTCACTATAGGTCACCGAACAAAAGAAATCGGTATATATAGTATAAAATGCTGATATTTGACTTGAGATTTGTTAATTAAAATAAAAATGTTTTGTTGGGTCATTTCGAAGTTGCTACAAAATATTTTCTATTTACCCCCTAATCCTTCATTGTAGGAGTTGGGTGTTAAGTGGAAAAATATTCTATATCAAATTTCACTGTAAGTCTCGGACCAAATAAAATCGGTAGCTTTAACATACATGCCAAAAATAACCTCATTAAAATAGGGTTTATAAAACAAGTAATTCTCATTGTTAGGGTCTTAGCAAATATTTTCTCGTGTAATAAATATAATTGTAATATTATTGTAATAATATTTTTCTGCCAAATCTATATTTTTTGCTAAAATTTAGAATCCCTCTCCTGTTGTGATAATTAGCAAAAGAAAAGCATACACAAAATTCAAAAAATATTATTATGATTGGTTCAAGCACCCCATCATGACCCCATTTCACATACTCGCATATCATTTAAATGCAAAACAAAAACCCTAATCAAATCAATACAATTTTGTTATTAAAAAATATTGAAGCTCTACCTATCGGTCAAATAACACCATCTCCTTCAAAGAAAAGCTCTTAACACTTAATGTGATTGGCTACACTTTAGATTTTTTTTTTCTAATAATTTCAACTACAAAAAATAACGCACGCAATAATAAAAAAGCCATTTAATTTTGTTAAGAAAAAGTAATATCTCATAGAGAAGATGAAGAAGATGGACGGTATAAATGATATATTGATATTTAATGATTGATGTTACATGGAGAGGTATCGATCTTTAGTTTTTTTTAATATTTTATCTTCCGTCGTTTGTTGTGGCGCGTAAGCAAAAAAAGAAGTGGTATTACCAAATTTATGAGAGTTTTTTCGATTTTTTGTTGTTGTTGTAAATTTTATATGACTAATGGTGGGTAATATTTAGTTAGGTCTCATAATATTGCCTTAATGACAAGCGGAGTCTATTTTTTCATATTTAAGCAAAAATATATTTTTTGTTTTGCTTACTTTTTACTTTTTTAGACTCAAACCCGCCATAACCGCTAATGTTGTTTTGAACATATTAAGTTATATAAAAATACTAATATGATGTTTTTTTTTTTTGTTAGTAAATATATTATTTTCATTTTAATTATAGCCAATTTATGTAATTAATAATGCCTTAGAGCTATTTGCAAGAAGTTGTGGGATAGATTTTGGGTAAATTTTAAATTTGTAATTTTTTCCAAAAAATAAAAATTAATAATTTTGAAATATTGGTAAATTTGTTAATACGTGCCTATAAATTAGGTGTAATTGAAATTAGGTTCTTAATGATTCTGATAAAAAAAAATTATTAAAAAATGGTAGGAAAAAATACTAAAAATATATACTTTGAATATATGTATGCCTAATATACCACTTATATAGTGAAGTTAGCAATTTTTTTTATTCTGAGACTTATAATACAATTTGATGTAGAATATTTTTCTCCTTGACATCAACCCTCAAAAATTAAGGATAATGGGAGAAATTGGCTTTTATTATAAGCATCCAGCCTCATTTAACCTCAAAATTGTTTTTCTTAAAAAATTATTTTAAAATTATATTTTTCGCTGCAATATATTATGGCTATCGACATCGTCTAGCTGGGAACCTATAGTGAAATTTGATGCAGAATAATTTTCTCTTTAACATCGATATTCAAAAATGAAATATTATGGAAATAACCTCAAAATATTCGTTTCTTAATATGATGACTTTGGATATACGTTTACTCCCTATATATTATAGCTATAGATTTCATGTAGTTGGAGACCCATAGTGAAATTCGATGTAGAATATATTTCTCATTAACATCAAGCCCAAAAAATGAAGGGCTATGGGAGAAATTGGCTTCACAGCAAAACAATTATGAAATTAACCTCAAAATATATTTTTCTTAATATACTGATGTTTCAATTAATTTTTCCGGTTATATATTATAGCTATCGATTTCCTCTTGTTGGGAACCCATAGTGAAATTCGATGTAGAATAGTTTTTCCTTTAACATCAAGCCCAAAAAATGAAGGATTATGGGAGAAATTGGCTAAAGTTCAAAGCAATTATGGAATTAACCTCTAAATATATATTTTCTTTTAACATTCAGCCTTCTCTTTAACATTCAGCCTTAAAAATGAAGGATTATGAATGAAAATAGATACAGTTCAAAGCAATTATGAGACTAACCTCTAAATGTATTTTTCTGAATATACTGATGTTTGAATTAGGTTTTCTGGATCTATAGTGAAATTCGATGTAAAATATTTTTTCCTTTAAAACCCAGCCTTAAAAATGAAGTGTTATGGATGAAAATAGCTACAGTTCAAAACAATTATGAAATTAACCTCAAAAAATGTATTTTTTTAATAATGATGATTTTGGAATAAAATTTCCCTGTGACATATTAAAGCTGTCGATTTCCCGTAGCTGAAGACTCATATTGAAATTCGATTTAGAATAGTTTTCCCGTTGAGACCAACTACCAAAAATGTTGGATTAAGGAAAAAAGTGGCTTACAGTCAAAGCCTAATTAAACCACAGGTAGTTTTGCTTCATGTATATAGTATAATAATTTTATATTTTATTTTTTTTTCATAAGTCTTCCAAAATATTTAAAACTAAAAAAATACTTTTAATTTTATACAAAAATAATCCCATCATTGAATTTCTTGTTTACCAATTATCAACGGAATTTACCTTCAATTTTATTTAACCTCTCATTTTCCGTTTTTTTTCTCTTCTTTTTTAGGTGCATGTGTCCAGCTGGTTATACTGGTAAAAATTGTGAATCAAAATATGTTCCATGCTCGCCGTCACCGTGTCAAAATGGTGGCACATGTCGATCAAATGGTTTAACATATGAATGCAAGTGTCCAGAAGGTGAGTACCAATTGCATTTTTGTAACACTCCTTTTACACACTCACATCACTCCAAAGTGGATGGGGAATGGGGGGATATCGCCAAACGAACGTGGTATGCAACACGTTCCACGGCTGGCTGTGTTCAGGCCAGACAGCTAGCAACAGTCCCATGACAGAAGGAACAACCTGTGTAGTTAAAAACTGTGGGAAATTTGTGCCAATGATTTCTTATGGTTTATTATCATCAACGAAAGGAAATTGCTGTATTTAAATTGCTTTGCCAGGTTTCTTTCGTCATCATCATCATCATCGTCGAGTCAGCAGCATCGCATCGTCAATGGTGATTGACTCCTTTTCATTTGCATTGCGGTGGCTTGGCCGCCACAACTACTAAATGATGTTGTTGGTTTCTTTATTATGGAAATTGAAAAAAAGTGCTTTGGTTTTAGCCATGTTATGGTTATGATTGCAATATTTAATGACAATTTATGACGATTTTTTTCTTCTACAGAAAAAACAAGAATTATTATTTAATCTGTTTATTAGCTGGCTGGCTGGCCTGGCATTTCAAAATGCCATTTCAATTTTCCAATAAAAATAATTATTTTATTTCTTAATAAGTTATGCAAAAGATTTACGATTTCAATATTTCTTTTTCTCTATCTGCTTACATTGTTGTCATGTTTTTTTGGCCCTTGTAACAACACCCTGATTACTTTTTTTCTTCATACATCTCCGAAAAAATGAGTAGGCTGTCACTCAGCAGTCTCATCAGAAAAAATTGCAAACCGGTGAAACTGGCCTCTGTGAATTTACCTAAATTGAAAAATGATTTACAATTGCATGTTGTCTGTATGTTTTCTTTGTCGGATTTTTTTTTAGTTCAGATCTCATTTCAATACTTGTTTCATTTTTTATTCGGATTTCATATTTTTTGGTGTAGTCCTTTGTTTGAGGATGCAACAAGTTAATTAAAGGTTTGGTTTTGTGTGGATCTTTAGTTAAACATATATTTATTTAAGCCACACATCACAGTAATAAGGCCAATTTATTAAAGAAAGTGAAGGTAAACCGACACATGACATCCTCCTTATGGATAAACTAAAAAGAGAAGGGGAGATTGGGTGTTTTCGGAAATATGGGCAATAATTTTAGTTTAATGATTCCCCTTTCAAAGAGTTTTATTTCATCGAAGGAAAAATAGTCTTTAAATTATGTTTTTGAAGTTATATTTCTTTAATATTTATTATTTTAGTATTTTTGTGGGTCCTAGCAAAAAAATCTTATTTTTCGAAATTCAATTTAACCTAACAAATTATTTCTCCAATATTGTTGTTCAGATTTTATAGTTATCTGTTGTATCTACCGATTGCCTTTGTTAGGAGTCTTAGAGTGAAATTTGATGTACAATATTTTTCCCCTTTACACAGCGCCCCTAAATCGAGCTACAATAGAAGAAAACGAGCTCAAGTCTAATAAAGCACGAAAAAAAACCTTATTTACATATCCCAATTTGTAACTCATATTTTAGTGCTTTAGATTACCTCAATCAATTTTTTGTGTTTGGAGAACTCTAAGGAAATTCGATGTAGATTATGATTTTCTTTGACACCAACCCCATACGGAGGATGGTTGGGTCCAATATTGCCATTAACTTATAACAGGAGCGAAAATAGGCAATTTAATTAAATTTTATATGCCATAATTTGATACGGATATTTTAATGACAAACTGACCAGCTATCGATTTTTTGTGTTTGGGGACATATAGTGAAATTCGATGCAGAATATTTTTCTCCTTAACATCCACACCCAAAAATTAAAGATTATTGGAGAAATTGACTCCAATTCAAACAAATTGCCATCAACTTATAACAGGAGGGAAAATAGGCAATTTAATTAAATTTTATATGCCATAATTTGATACGGATATTTTAATGACAAACTGACCAGATACCGATTTTTTTGTGTTTGTGGACATATAGTGAAATTCGTTGCAGAATATTTTTCTCATTAAGATCAAACCCCTAAAATGAAGGGTTATAAGAGATATTGGCTTAAAATTATAATATTTAGGGAATTAACCTCAAACTCTAGTTGTTCCTAGTATATCGATTTTGGAATGCCATTTCCCTATTATATGTTATGGCTATCGATTTCCTTTTGTCAGAGACCTATAGCTAAATTCCATGTAGAATATATTTCAACACCCATATCCAAAAATAAGGATTTGGGTAGATATTGCCATCTCTTCTGAAATTGTGAGGGGAGAACTCAAATTTCAGTAAAAATATTTTGTTAATTTACAATTTTTTTAATTAAATTTCCCTAGCATATATTATAGCTACTGATTTTTTTTAGTTGGGGACTCATAGTGAAATTCGATGCAGACTATTTTTCTCATTAAGACCAAACCCCTAAAATAAAGGATTATAGAAGATATTTGCTTAAAATCATATATATAGGAAATTAAGCTCAAAATATATTTTTTTCTTAGTATGTTATACATAAAATGTTTTTTTCACAATGAGTCTCCATAACCTCACATTTCCGTTTTTGTGACCTGTGTGTATGCAGCTCCTAAAGGTGTAACGGATTTGTGTTTTGCTATCAATAATTCTCAATTGGCTATCTTATTATATTCCTTTTTTTGTAAGTTTCGGCTATGGCCATGTGATTTATTTTTGTGTGGTTACCGCTATTTAAAATGTTGCTACAACAAACCCAACAACAACAACTCAGCAGCATCGTGCAATTTATCAAAGCTTGAAATTGTCGTTTAGATTACGAGGAGTTGTTCCGCTCACTGGGCTAGTTGCGGGTTTTTTCTGTATAAAATTTTTCTGGCCACAATTTAAGTAACTGAAGAGATACTTAAAGCCAAGAGAGAAAAGAGTCCGCGAGAGTGCCCTAGGGATTTTCATCATGGCTGTGTGTGTGTATTTTTGTGATTTTATAATGGACTTCTTTTTCCAGGCCATTTCCCAGGCCTGTTTTTTTTACTGATAGAGAGAGAGAGACTTGTTTCAGGGGAGGTGGGGTATGTGTGTGGAGGAAAATTGTGACCACGTTTGTCATTAAATAGTTATAACACTAAAGGCAGGTTAGTTTTTTTTTGTCATGGCTACTGCCTCATCTGCGATTATCTTCTTTTGAAATGAGAGAAAAGCCAAGAAAAAACAACATTTCGTTCTAACTTGTCCTGACAATTGTCGTTGTTAATGAATGCCTGCCTGTCCGACTGAATGGCTACCAAATGGTAGCACCGCGGCGGTATAATCACAGATAATTTGTCTCTAATGGTATTCGGATATTTGTTAAGATTTGCCATTCACTAGTGGCTGTTTTTTTTGCGTTCTTCGATTCTTTCGTTCATTGTACTGCCTAGCTACCTATCTTTCGGTCCTAATGATTGATGAATTTTCTCAGCATTATTGAGATATTATGATTTGCATTTCTTGGCGCAATGGCCCCCAAAAAACTTCCTTTTTTCCCAGGAGTGGTAACTAGCAGCTTTTTCTCTTCGATTACAAACCAACCAACAAAAAATCCATAAAGCACGAAATGATGTGAATCAATGAAATTATTATTAGGCCTATTTCTGTTGCTGTCGTTTCAATTTCTTGATTGAAATTCAAAGCCTGCTGCTCTTCTTGATCTGAACTTATAAGCTTCAAAAGATATTGCGTGTTTAGGTTAGGTTACTACGAGGTGGTTGTGTCCGGCCAGAAATGCTAATGCAAACGTGATAACCTGAGGGTGTATACCAACAGATAGACAAGCAAAATAAATTAAATCGCATTGCGAATAAAGACAAAGAGGAGGAGAAATCGGGAGGAGTGAGAAAAAAATCAACCACAAACAATAATCATTTATTGTGAGTTCTGTCCGTTGTAGTTCCTTTGATGGTAGATTGCATTTTTTATATTAAATCCAATTTTGTTTTCCATTTCACATTTATTATTCATTAAGCTTTACTTCAGCTGCAGCCCTTTTATTCCTGCAACTTTTTGATGTTGCCCCGCAATATCTATGTACATTTTCTAATTACCCAATTAATGCCAGCACAGGCATTTCATTTTCTAAATTGTGGTTTTAGAAAAAATGAAATCTAAGGAATTTTTCCAGTCCCCTTTCCTGACAGTGACAACGCTTACCCATTTCCCCTTGGGCCTGGGCAATTATGTAGATGAGCTAGAAGGGAATTAAAGCTCATAGTAATTGACTCTCTCGCAAGGGTATTTTAAATCTCATTGTAGAAAAGTTCAACTAAAATTGGAATTTTTGTGTAGTTTTGAAAATTTTATATTTTTACAAAATTTGAAAAATTCGAATTTATGGAAGTATAAATTATAACTTCGAATTTTTCGGAAACTTAGAGCTGTAAAATGTTCGCAATATTTTTGTATATGGTTCATAAGAAATATTTTGAGGTTTACAACTTGAACAAATTTGGAAATGTCATAAATGGGACTCAAATGTATAATATGTAAAAAACTGTCTAAAACCATAAGAAAAAAGTATATAAATTATAATTTCGAATTTTTCGGGACATTCGAACTGTAAAATGTTCATAATATTATTTTATACTGTCCATAAGAGATATTTTGAGATTTACAACACGTTACAAATTGCAGAACTGATGGTCGCAAATGTATGATATGAATAAAAGTATTTTTGGAACCTTCTATCTAAGCAATTTTTCAGATAATTTTTGTATCTGGTCCCTAAGCCGTATTATGAAGTTTACAACATGTGAAATTTTGGAAAAGTCCCAAGTGGGACTCAAAGGTATAATATGTAGAAAACTGTCAAAAACCATAGAAATTGTGTATTTAGTGTATCTATCTTTTAGGTTGGTTTTTGTGGTTTAGTCGTAAATGTAGAAAAAGTATAAAATATTTTCGAGTCATTTGAAGCGAGGAAATCGGACCCAAACGTATATGTCGTCGGATCAAATGTATAATAAGTATAAAATGTTTTCTGGGCTTTCGAACTGCAGAAAATTTGGGATTATAA